GGAGGTAAGTCCAAGAAGGTTAGGGATGTTCAAGCAGACGTTTGGCTGCGAATGCGGCAGGAATCTTGGCACCGAGTATTGAAGTGACTACTCGCAGCGGTGGAGAACAAAAATACAATCCTCTCACTATTGTCCCAAAATTGGTTGGCCGTAGGCTTATGACTGCATAGTCATCATCCATGCGGCTCTTGGAACATCTTAGAACTATTCCAGCTCCTTGTGGGTGAGAACCAGGGCTTCAAAGGCTGGTAAGTCAGCATTGCATCACAGCCGCATGAAGCCTGCAACCCATGAAACCCATGGCCCTCCCGAGTTCTCGGCTGCAGGTGATCGACCCGATCGGGGATCGGTCGGGTTGAGGTCTCTGAAGATTCGGCGACTGCGCGAAGTGCTACCTGTTCGGAGACCTGAGAGCTCGGGGGAGGATTGCACCTCTGCGCCCTGGCACCGATCACTCCTTCACCTTCAGTGCATTGGCATTGGCGTCTGCGGGACCCTTTGGTGGCAGAGGGAGGTCTTGATGAGGCTTTCAATACCCAGTTTCAACCCATACCTTGGTAATTTGGAGTTTTGCACCAAGGATTGACTACATATAACTAGTAGTAGCAAGAAGCTAGTAGGAACAAGTGCATCGCTACTAGTAACAAGTGCCTTACTAGTGTAACAAGAAGCTTTTAGAAACAAGTGCCTCGCTAGTAGTAACAGAACAGAACTCCAAACTGCGCAGCAACTTTCAAGAAAACATACACGGCGTGTGCAACAGATTCCAAGTCCTGCGATAATATACATAGGTTTCCTTTTATAAGAGTCAAGGCAATCTCGGACATGTGGTGTCCAAAATACTCAAAATAAGGTGTGTTCCATTTTGGATCTTTTCGTTCGTTTGCCATGTTTGACTGGTGTTCTCAAAAAGAAGAGCTTCCCACACATCCATTCCCTGCCAAGGGCCCAACTTTGCTCAGGCGGGTGCTGAGGATCACTGAAGCTTTTTGGGGAATGAGATTGGCCTGCTGTTGCAGGGTTCCTGTAGATAGGGATCATGTCAAGTATCTTTCAGAGGTAATTTGTACTTAGGGCCGGGTTTGAACAAGGAAAACGACTAGCAAAACCTGGCCACACCGACATCTGACGTCGAAATCAATGTGCTGCTTTGGGATCCACTTGATTCTCCCTGCCTGGACTAGAAACATATCTCCTTTGGAGGTTTTGGTGATCCAAAAGAATCTGTTGTGACATGAGGTCGGCTGCTGGATGTCGCTGGTATGGGTTTGCAATGGTGCATGGTTTGAACTTCATCTCCCATTGGCAGAATCCATACAAATCCAAGTTCAGATGATGTCAGTAGAGATCAGTAGAGGGCCAATCCAAGTAGAACGAATGAGTTCAGCGGAGTGAGGCCTTGGCTCAGCCAAAGAGAGCCAAAAGCATCTCAACCATTCGCTTAGCCATTGGCTTCTCTCGTTTTGTTTGGAGGCAGATGAAATTGTGCGTCTCTCCCTACGATACCCCATGTCTATGAAATTTGGTTCAGGTCTACCCCATGTTTGTTGCTTCTTCAGGCGTGCTAGCTCTGCACCCCAATTGAGCTGGCGAGAGGTTTACGAGCAGCGGGGTACCCCAGGTCAAGGAAGCGGGTGGGATCGAGTGAAATGAAAATAAATGAAATCTCAACATGCTATAAGTGAAATGAAAATAAAATGATCCATTTTATTGAGTTCAAAGAGAGAGCACTGTGGGACTGAGATGGGTTCCAAAAGCTCACAGGATGTCAGTTGGAGAGAAGTGGCCTAGGCATGGAGAGGTGCCTGAAGCGCGGCCGGTTGGTGCAATCAGGCTGGCACAGGGGTGCGTTGTGCCAAAGGGGATCGTCTCACCACAGGTTTCCACCTAAGAAGAATGTGTCCTCAGGCGCAAGTTGACACTGACACATGCTGGTACTATGCTGAATGACACATTATCATTTGAATATACCTCCATAAAGACAACTGCTCCTGTCTTCTTGCGTGCACTCATTTGAACAAGTTTACCACGATTTGGTTGAGCTGGATATCGACAGCTACTCGACATTGTGGTCAAGAAGAGATAGAGAATTCTACGTTCTTAAATGGATTGTGTTTTTCAAAAACTGCCAGTGAGATTAACAACTCGGAACTAGAACCTACAAAAGGGGGAGATGTGACAAGACTGTTTGCTGGCTCCAGCTAGGTAATTAGCAAAAGTCTTTCAGGGCTTTGGTTTGGTTTTGTCGGGAACCACGATTTCTTAAAAGCTAGGGTCAACTTACCCAGCTGTCGCCTGGCCCAGAGACACAACATTACTCCAATTCTCCTTGTGAGTAGTGGACATGTATCACAAAATACACTGATGTTGTAGAGGAGAATTGTTCACCACGTCCTTTCAAGATCTTCTTTTTCAAGGTCCAAGAAAAGTTTCGAGAGTGAAAGCCGTATTCCACCTCAAGACGGCCCCCCCACTGATGTCATTGGACAATTTGCCACAGGAGGTGTCGAAAGGCGCAGGCCAGTCCGCTAATTTGGAGAGAGAGAGAGAGACTAGGTTCCATGGTGAGCAAGCCCAAAAGCACAGGGTGTTTCAGCCTGCTGGCCTTCCTGGAAATGCAACCCCAACGAGTCAGACTGAGACTTGGATCACTGGATCACTTAGATCAAGGTTTGCATGCTTGCCCCTGGTTCACTGGTTCACCCTGCTCGATTTGGAACCCTTATGTAAACAAAACGATGTCCCGTTGTTCTGGTCAGTTCCACCTTCGCGAAACGGCGTAGTTCCAAAGACGGCCTGCACTGGGCCGATCCATAGCGTGGCCATGTACAACAGGTTTTGCTTGACTTTGCTACCTAGTAAAGACCAAAAATTGGAACCACTAGTTGTTGCATTCCACCAGGTAGGTTCTGGTGCTACACCTCAGTCCTCCTATATATGATCCTGGATTTGATCCTGCCAGGCAGGCCCACAAGCCCCCGCACAACCTTTTGTTGCGTTGCCCACGCATGGAGTCTCAGGTTTCGGGAAATGGTCGAACACAGAAGTCATCCAAGCACTTCAGAAAACAAAAAGCGTTTCTCCAATCAATCTCATTCATTGGTTCCACGAGCTACTTGCTGGAATGATTCGGAAAGCTTTGGAGACTGTGCTAGGAGTTGTTGTCACGAAGCGCTAAAGGGGGTGGCTTCAACTGTCTTGGCCTATGTGGTGCGGGCTTCTTGCAGCAGAAGTACCAGTAGTGGTATGCAGTGGTCATTTGGGAGTTGCATAGTTTGAGTCCGTCCTATTACCCATAACAGTCAGTAAACTATTGTTGAACAAGGCCTTTACTAACCATCATCATCCACTGTTACTGGTAATAGGATAGATCCAATGCATAGTGGTAGTAGTAGTAGTAGGAGTAGGAGTAGGAGTAGTAGTAGTGGTAGTGGTAGTGGTAGTGGTAGGAGTAGGAGTAGGAGTAAAAGCAGCAGCAGCAGCAACAACAACAACAACAGCAGTAGCAGTAGCAGTAGTAGTTAGTAGTTAGTAGTATGTGTTAAAATTGCTCTTTTGGGGACTTGAAATGCTCGTGCGGGCAGTCTGTGTTTGCATCCACCCCAGTACCTCCAATGGATGCAACCACCATGAGATACGGTTAATTACGGTTATGGGAAGTAACAAATGCCCAACGAAAGGATGCTCGAATGCCAGCTGCATGTTTATAGTGTTCGAAGTTCGTAGTGTTTGTTTTTTTGTCCTTTTCGTTTGAGAGATCTAAATGCCACTGCCACTGTTCCGCTCCTGTCTCAACCCGACAGACACCTGACTTAATCCATAATCTTTTTGCCAAGCCTTACTCTGAGGCCCTTGGTGAAGATATCGGTTGCCCGAAAGGACTCCAGGCTGGGCGCTTCATCACCTGATAGCTGCTGGGCCGCTGTGTTCTTTTGCATCTTTTGCCAAGCATGTTGCAGATGGGAAGATTATTCATGATGGTCCAGTGAAGAGCGGATAAGACTTGCGCAAGAACCTCAATCGGGCGGCTCATGGCTTTTGGAGGAAGCAGCCAGACACAGAAGTTCGCCTTGGAAGAAGGAGAGCCATTGACATGGGAATTTGTTGTTTTCCACATTTGAGTGCCAATCACCTGTATTACACTGCATGTGATGGTTCACATCCATATTCCCTTTGGTTAGGGTGATTTGGAGGTTAAGCTAGACAAGTCAGTCATTGAAACTGGCGCCAGGATGGCTACACGGCCTTCGAGAAAGCCAGCGTGTGCTTGAGATCCGTTGCATAGCTTTGCATGATGGTTGAACGAAGAACCGAAGAAGTACTTGGGTCCCTACATGAAGCCAGCAGTTCGAGTAAACGTGGTTGATTGATTTTTATCACCAAGTGCGCTCACTTCGAACATGTGTCCAACTCAATTCTCGGTTCTTCACAACCAGTAATTTGAGTTTTTCATGCATGGTGTTCCCTTCCAGCCGGTAGAGATAGAGTGTTCTGGAGATGGAAAGGGGGTTCCACACCAAGATAGATTTGATGAAGATTGAGACGAACGTAAATTGAGAGGGAACACTGACCCAGCTGGTGTTAAGCTCGGGAAAATGTGTTTGCCTGGTATGTACCTGATTTCCCAAGACAAGTTCCGGTGCAAGCATTTTTGGACCGGTTTGATGCCCTGTTCTCGTGTTCTTTGCGCAAAGGAGAACAGCATGGTTAAATAAGAACCGCCACAACCGTGTATGTAAGCTTTTTGTTTCTAATAGCTTCTTGTTACTACTAGTAAGGCACCTGTTCCTAGTAGCGTGGCACTTGTTCCTAGTAGCGAACCTTGTTTCTACACCCGCAAGTCCGAAATCCTCAAAAGGCAGGTGTGAGTGACAGGGCAAATCAAAGCGTCCAGCCCATAAAAGCCCAGATGATTTGGTCGCAGTTTTAGCTGCCTTTGTTGGTCATGGTTTAGCATGCACACCCCGCACGCTTGCTGGTTCATGTTGGTTCTGTTGCAGGATGGGGTGCTGGTCATCATCGACTGGGGGTCCGGGTCCAAGTGGACAATAGTTTTAGTTTAGATATATATCTAAGTTTAGGCTTACACAGTAGGAATACGAGGAAAGTCGTAGGAATAGTCTATTCATGATGTTTCATTATCTATACTAAACTGCTGTTGTTTGCTTTCACTTACTGTATGGTAATGCCAAGACGTTGAAGTTGTCCAGATTTTTGATCTAAATTTCATTGGACGTTGGAAAACGATACACCTCACACATGACATGTTGTTTCGGGGCTACTTCAAAGAGGCCGCAGTCAAAGGAGATGCACACAGATGTGAGTGAGAGAGGGCAGTAGGGATGTCAATCCGAACCCTACTGCCTACATACTGCTGTGGTTGATACCTACAATCAAATGTTGAAGTCCTGGCGATGTCGCTTTTGGTTGGGGAGAAGACAAGGCAGAGGAGGCAAACAAAACGCCGATCAAGCAAAACGCCATCGCACAGGCAAACAAATGGGGAGATAGGTGGGGGAACAAGTGAGGAGACAAGGCAGCAGCGGCAGACAAAACGCCGATCACAGCAGACAAGCGGGAAGACAAGAAGAAAGAGCGAAAGAAAGAAAGAAAGCAAGAAAGGGGATGTCCGCATGTACTTTTTTATTCTGAGGGTCTTCCTTGCTGGCATGGGCTCTGACCTCGTGCACCCTCTCGTTCACCCTCGTTCCGATACCTCTTTGCAACTTGTGTGATACAAGTAAAGTGTCCAGACCCTGGTCCAAAGAGATGTCAAGGGACCACAAGGAGATTAACATCCTTTCCATGCAAGAAGCTTGTTGTGAATACGTGACAGTTGTGCTAGGGACAGAATTCCAGGACACATCAAAAACATTGCCAAATCAGTGCGGCTTCCGTGCGGGAAGACCCCCTCCTGGCGCCGCGTTTCCATTGGGGAACGCAAGTCTTTCCTGCTACGCCGTGACTTCCGCGGCTGAGTGTACCAGTGGGGAGACAAGGGTAGGTCATACTGCTACAGCCCGACACGCTCTCCGACGCGACAGGCTCGTGGCGGACATCGACGATGGCCTCCGGAGGCAGATCCTCCGCTACGTCGGGGGGCCTTTCGTAGGGGTCAGCCGGTGGCTTGCCTGGTGTCATGCTAGGGTCTGATGTGTATGGTTTTATCACGGTTTATTGATGGTAGGGGGGGTTATCATGTATGTGTGTAAATGAAATGAACTCTACACAATGGAAGTGGCAGATGGTGCCCAGCAACTTCGAATGAACTCAATTTACAGAAGGCTTCCACATAAAAAACAATGCAAATGTTTGCTTGTCAGAAAACAGAAGCAGCTGCAAAAAGGTGTGTCTCACAATCAGGGCTTGACTCTATAACCAATTTGTCCGGGCAACTGATGGAGTATGTGCATATGTGTGTGTGCCCGCTTCAACTACACCTGACAACATAGGGATGGTTTCTTCCAACCACACTTGATATCGAAAGGCCTGGGTTTCCCGAACATGACCTTTGAACATGCCCCTTTTGGAAAAAGATAACTCCTACAGTGTAATATAGATGCATCCACTGGACATTGTCAAATCTCAATATCCACCGGAGGTCCATGGTGGTCTTCCCTTGACCTGAGGTGGCCAACATTTTGTCAAACGACTACGACGCCATCCCTGCCGACTTGGTGTGGCAGCCAAACGACTGGGTTTGGAGCGTACCTCGTTTTAAAGATCGAGTTGTGACATGAGCGACTTGGCACGTGAGGAACAAAATGGACATCCTGACATCTTGTAAGCATTTGTTCCATAAAAAATTGTGACCTGTATTCTGCAGGTTCAATGACCTAATCATGAGTCCATGACCTGCTCCTTGTGCTTCTGTTGGCTGAGGTGGCCATGGGTTTCATTGCCCCTCGTGGGCTTATGGCCATGGAGGAAAAGCAGGTGGCTCGCTCCATCAGGTGAGGTATCCGCCTGTTAGAAGATCGTTTCGATGGACATGGGTGTTCCAACTCTCATTTTTTAACACGTTGGGTATATGGCGCCTATGTAGGGAAGGCCCTGTTTTGCTCACCTTTGGCCGTGCAGCACACTTTGTGAAGCTCGCAATTAGAATGTGATTGTATAACTGTATCATCATCACTCCTTCTTCTGGATTCTTCTGGGGTGCTCTTGTTTTGGATGCCTGTGTGGGTCAAAACTCCCTTTCCTGGTTGACATGGTCAACGGACCAACGGATCATCCTTTTTTGGGTTTGGTTTTGACCCACAGCCAGGTTGTTCTTTTTTGGGCCTGGGAGTTGTATTCTGCCCTCCACGCCCAGTGACGTCTTCCAAAGCTTGGCTGCAGGCGAGGGACAGGGAGAGGGGAGGTGAGAGAGCAGGAGCTGCAAACGGACCTCGGTTCTTTTGATCCGAAGGTGAGAAGCGACTCCCACAGTCTGATGAATACAGATGAATATTGATAAGCCTCGGCAGGTCCCTCACTCAGTGATCTCAGCATGCTGGGACCCTTTAAGCGAAGCTCAGGTGGTACAGCCCAACAGCGAATCGCGGACGCAAGGAATCTCAGGGTCTTGGCGGCCGCTCTGACCGTGTGGAGGGACCAACGTCACAGTTCAGGCACGTTCAGGCCACACGTTTGACTGTTTGAACCTTTACTTTGCTCCACATCGATGAAAGAAAAACAACAATAAGCTGGATTAGGCTTTGAGTGGCTTTGAGTTCTGAGCCATTTAAGAGCCATATGTGTCCAAAGCTCTCAGGCGAGGGCAAGTTTCGCAGTCATGGCAAAAGAAGTGTGGAATTCCACTAAGTTGCTCATGATGCCAAGCTAGCAGCTTCACAAGCTAAGATGATCACAAGGATACCATGTCTTGTTCCCATTCAAAAGTGGTCCATCGTCATGACGTTATGAACTGCCAAAAAGAACTGTTGGGGACTTGTTCACGCTACGACCCACTGCTTCAAGGAAGCGGTTTGCAGAGCTTAGCAGTTTATGCTGGTTCATCTATTCTTGGGTGGGTTTGTTTGTCCTTTCATTCCAGTATTGATAACTTCAAACTGATGCTCCAAGCAGGGTGAACCCAAGCCTCCAATTGAGGTTCTGCCTGCGTTGGCGGAGATCAAGCAGCAACACGGGAGCGAACCCGGCGCGAGCGCGCGCGCGCGCCCGCATGTGCCTTGTGCCCGGGATGCACATGACTCATGACCGCAGTAATCGTATGTAATCTCAGCGTTCTGGTACTATCCAGCAACGCAGGCAATACATTCCATTGTAGGTGGCCTATGAACGGTCTTTGCCTCGGAAGGCCGTGTGTATTCTTGCTTTTGAGGTGAAATCTCCGCATCTCTCCATGATGAAATGTCCCCTGCCTCCGCCCCCCGGACCCAACTCGTGCTCTCAAGGAGCATTGGGCAGATCCCAGCGCCCTTCGTGTACATCTTGCGGTGCTTCAGCATTCTGGAGGTGGAGTTTTTGTCCGTCTCGGTATCCCTATTTTTTGAGTCGGTTCCTGCTAAATTAAGTAAGCACCTTATATAAATAAGTATGGAAGAAGTAAGCTAGTAGGCTAAGTTAGCTTCTGGGTAGGACGCAGGATAGCTCACGCACTAATGATTTGGTTCCTAGATTATTTATGGAGACCAGCTACTTTTCACGATTGCAAGAGCAGACATTCGTACCTGAGACAACTTCTGGAAAAGCCATCATGAACGAATTCAGGGGCATGGACTCCGCTTGGATCGCAACTACCGCATCGTGGAGGATTGCTACCCGCCGAGATCCGAGATGTGAAAAGGAAGCCCCACATGGACAGTCTTTCTTGCGAATGCTCGATTTGATTTCAACATAAAAATACTACATCATGTTTAAAATATTTTGGAATCATATTTGATTCCTTCTACAAATCTAATTTAATAGGCACCAAAAAATACTGAACATGGATACATATGGTTGCTGCTACAGTACATCATATTTCGCTGCTCTATGCTGTGGAATTAGTCTGGTCTTGCTTGTGTGGGATGCTCTTGCGCAACTCCGACCGGGTTCGCCAAGGTATTTGGCCAACTGGGCCCTCCGGGCCAAAGCCTCGGAGGTCGGGCACGGATTGAGGGGAACCTGGAAAGCAGCCCTGAAAAAGTGGCAGGGTGGAACGGAACACTGGGCATGTTTCTGTTTGGCTGAAATGCTTGTGGTGATGGTGGGATTCTGAACTCACTTTTTGTTTGATGAGGGTATGTGTGGGGAGGTAGAAGACGTCCAACAGGCGAGGTGTTTCAATCCGTCAGAAACTGCCGACTTGGAAACGTCGTGAAACAAGACTGGGACGGATCAGCACATGTCCCACTAGACATGGTAGAAGAATTGTGCTTTGGCGGAGTGTAAAGCTTGTATTTATCTATATAATATTATACTATATATTATATATATATATATAGTATTGAATTGATGAGGTTTACCCCCGCTATGTGAGTGATCCATGTGCTTGAGCTGCCGGAGGCTCCCCTCATCCGAAGCGTCTTGTATGGGCCGAGAGTGCAAGGGGCGGTGGCGGTGCCAGATGTGAACCAGGCGGGGAAGAGGGAGGCGAGGGGGAGACATGCCTGGGAGAGACACCAGAAAAAGCGTTGCAAATTCAGGAGCTCATTATGTTGTAAATTCATGTAAATTCAATGTGTGTTGCGATTTGATATAAGGCATTTTTTGAGAAGCGATCATCAACATAGCATCAACTGAGTTGATCAGTTCAATAACGGGTTCAGTCGCTTTATTACGCAGACCAAATCTCCAGCATTTTGAGGTGGAGGTACGCAGCAAGGCAGCGCAGCCAGCAAACTAACCAACATAACCTGATTCCAAGAGACTTTTCGGAAGGGAACTACTCACCTGTGTTGACTTTGGCTGAAGCCAAAATAGGTATATATGTGTATGTTGTTCGTGACCTGGTCTGGACCAAAACTCTGTCCTCACAGGTGCTGCGGCTACTTCGGGGCTTGCCACGCTTGCAGGTCGGCTTGGTTGAGTTGTTGAAACATCCATGGATACTCCACCGTGAGGTGTCAAGAAGAATCCCACCAGCTGTATCATGGCTTGAACGAACATATGGCCCACCGACCTGCAGGTTGTAGTCGATGTGTTCCTTGTTGTCACCAGCCGCACTGCCAGGATTTGCAGGAGGCTTCTGAAGGAGGCGCTGATCTTAAGCTGAAGTCTGGGGAGTCAGATAGGCCTACTATAGGAATATCAAGGGGTCGTGCTCTTCAGAACCCACCCAGGAAAGAAGATTGGTGTTTGCGTCACCAACGCAACCACTATCTAGAGGGGTTGCACCTTCTGCCGTCTAAAATATCCAGAATGTTCATGAATATTAATCACACAACTTCTCCAAAAGAATGTCAACGGCCCACGGAACCATTTGGCCATGCAAGACCGAGACTTGTGTAGTGCTGGCCTGTTAATCAGGCCAACTGGCAGAGGAGCTCCGGACATCGCTGAGGAGGCCAACACCGGGCAGTTGGCATGAAGACATGTAACAAGCTACATCGAGCTACTCGGAGCATCTATAAGGGGCTAAGGGATGCCATGGAAAGACTCATTATATACATACATTGTGAATGTGAGGTCACTTGACATCAGTTGCCACATGAGCACTCATCCTCGGTCGTTCCGTGTTTGATGCACTTTGTACCCGAAGCCTTTCTGGGTGGAGGATCACCCGAGGGGCGTGCGCGCGCCGAAAAGCGCGCTTGTGTCAGGGAGTTCCACTGCCACTGTGTGCAAAACACAGTGGTAGCGGAGCCCTGGCATGAGTGGTTCCGTAGATCCTCCTGGCACGGAGGAGTCTGTTTTGCCATGGCGTGATAAGGACCCACCACCGTCCTTCGATGGAGACATCGAGAAGTTCAAGTCCTACTTGCGAGAGCTCAAGATGTGGAGGCACGAGACGGACGTCCCGGCCAAGAAGCATGCGGTGAAAATGCTTCGTGCGTTGACTGGACCGGCCAAGGCCGTTTGCAACGAGTTGGAAGTTGAAGCATTGTTGACCGAGGCTGGCGCCGATGCGATCGTTTCGAAGCTCAAAGAGTACTACCAGCCACACCTGGAGACAGCAATGCCTAAGGCATTCGAGCGAGCTGTTTACGGCGAAGCCCGTCGAAGCAAGGAGAGCATTGGCGAGTTCATCGTGCGTCAAGACGCTCTCTTCCGGGAGTTGAGGGAGGAGGGTGTCACTCTGGACGACACCGTGCGTGGCTACATCATGTTCAGGCAGTCGAACCTCTCCCAGACACAGGAGGACCAGGTCACCACGTGGACACAAGGCAAGTTTGACCGTGCTTCAGTCATGTCTGCACTCCGCAAGCTCGAGAAGGTTCAGCGCGACCGAGGATCTGGCAAGCGTTTCATGGTTGCAGAGCCGGAGAATGACGAGACCTATGAATCCGAGGGTGAGGGTGATTACATCTATTTGGGCGAGGAGGACCTCGACCAGATTTTTGAAGAAGAAGAATTGACTGAAGCTCTTGCCACGTATCAGCAGGTGCGTCAAGCAATTCGTGAACAGCGCAATGGCCGAGGATACTTCCAGCCCAAGGGAGTTGGCAAGGCGAGTCCTGGAAAACCTGGAAAAGGGGCAAAGTCTGGCAGTCCGCTGATCCGATTTGGCGGCAAGGGCACCAAGGTTCACATCGATGTTTTGAAGCTTCGCACGAAGTGCGCCAGATGTGGCCAGATCGGCCATTGGGCCCGTGAGTGCGTCAATGAGCCTGACGCGAAGGGGAAAAGCCGTGCGTCATCTGATGGCACCAGTCCGAAGTCTGGGTTCTTCGAGTCCGGGAACGTCGATGGGGAGTCCTCCACCTTTCAGGTCAGCCTGGGTCAGTGCTTAGCCAAGACAAGAGCTGGAAGACCAAGTGCGCCGATCCCCTTCACTGGCATCACCACTAGCGGGTCTATGGGCATCATCGATACTGCTGCACAAGGCGGTCTGATTGGTCTTCCAGCACTTCGTCGACTAGAGGAGTCTTTGAAAGGGCACGGGTTGAAGGTAGTTTGGACTGGAAAGAAAGCCCAAGCCAAAGGCATCGGAGGAGATGCTCGGGTTCGTGGAGTGGTGGAAATCCCCGTGGGCATCGGTCGAGTGAACGGTGTGATCGAGGCCACGGTGGTCGAAGAAGAAGTGCCTTTCCTCCTCTCCATCCAGTTCCTCAAACAGGTTGGGGCCATAGTTGATTTGCAGAAGAGTGCACTGGTTCTCACCAAGTTTGACAAGTGTTGCCTCATGCACCACATGCCTGTCGCTGCGCCGGTTTTGGAGTTTCATGAAGATGGTTGGCAGCTCCCAGACATGGCATTTGAGCATCATCGCAAGGAGGAAGCATTTCGTTTCTTTTCAGCCGCGTCCACTCAGAGCCAAGTGTTCATGTGGAAGCATCGTGACTCCGCTGCAGTTGAGTGCAATGGACCTCATCTCCCGTCTTCGACAGATCGAGAAGACCACCGGAGAGGAATGGGAGAAGGTGTCCATGAACGAAGCCCGCAGGGCAGAGCGGGCCACTCGCAACTGGCGAGTTCTCATGGAGCATGTGGCCGACTTGATGGAGGTAGCAAAGGCTCATGCAAGGCTCGAAGCTTGGCAGCCCGCTGGTTGTGTGCTTGGTGTTCCACCATGTTCTTCCTTTACCCGGCCAGCATCGGGATCGGAGCCTTTCTCATGTCTGGACGGAGCAAGCCCCATGCAGATTACCAAGGCATCAATCTACGCCGAACTCATCCAGATCGGGGAGTACCTGGGGCAACGGAGGTGCAAGACGGCGCCAGACGCTCACATGAAGACATGCAGTCACCCCTTGGCAGCGCTCGCAGGAGCGGGCAACCAAGCCCAGAGGGAGGTGTGGTGTCGGAAGTGCCATGCTCGTTGGGGGGTCGACCCACAAGTGATGGAGGACATCGCCAACAAGAAGAAGACCATCCATGTGAATGGAAAGATGTTCAACCTGTCAACGACACTCCACCGAGGACTCCAGAGCTCAGCACACCTCGGACGCAGGTGATGGAGTGCTTCTGCAAAGCTCCTGCTGTGCAGCTGATTGTGAAAAAGGAGGGCCCGACTCAAGGGCGGCTGTTCTGGAAGTGTGCCAAGAGACTGTGCAGTTTCTTCGAGTGGGATCCTCAGGAGACTCAAGAACTCCAGAGGAAGCTGATGCAAGAGCGGGAGGACGCCGAGGTGAGAAAGTGGGAGGCTCAGGAGGAGGCAGAGCGCCAGGAGATGGTTTTCTTTTTTTTTTCGGAAGACGATGGAGATGGCGGAGACTCGACATCAAGAGATCCTGGAGGCCACCCGGAGCCAGCATCAATGGGAGGTGGAATCGCTCAGGAACCAGCTTCTATGGATGTCTGCAGTGGCCGGGGAAGCTCGGATGGAGGAGGTGTTCAAGGACCCGGTGCTCCAGCAAGAGATGATGAACAAGGCCATGGCCATGAAGGAGGAGTTGAGGAACCAAGAGATGCACGCTCAGAGCATGATGCAGCAAAGCCAGGGATACCACAGTGGCCAGTAGAACTCAAGTTCCTGATGACGAAGGAGGAGATGGAGAAGGCGCTGCAAGAGGACGCCCCTCGTGTGATCCATCTCGGCGATGAAGCTCGCTGGACCTTGCGGGGCAAGAAGCAATTGGAGGAAAGCACCTATGCACCCTATGAGCGGCAGGTGGCCGACGGCTTTTGGATGCCACAAAGAAATGACATGTGGAGGTTTCACCATGGCATTTTGCCAGAATTCAGTCAAGGAGCCACAGCGGTGTGCTTGTTTGGAGACTCATACTTTCAGGACCACAACTATGAGCCCGAAGAGGAGAAGCAGTTGTCTCGAGCATTCCGCAGGGCCGTGAACACATGCATGAAGAAGCTGGTGATCTCTGAAGTATTCTCACCACCCTGGGTGAGCGAGTATGCTGAGAAGCATGGTCACTTAGCTGGAGGAGCCTTCGACCTGGTGACCGGATATGATCTATCTACGGAGGAGGACAGGCGGAGGTGCTGGAAAGCCTTGAGACAGGCTGACCCGGACATCGTGGTGGTATGTCCGCCATGCGGCCCCTTTTCAATTCTTCAAAGCCTGAATCAGCGGCATCAAGGAGACAAGGCAGCGCTGAAGTTAGAAGAGGGCAAGCAGCACCTACAGTTCGCGATGGAGGTGTTCCGTTGGCAGACCTTGAGGAAGAAACTTGCGATCTTCGAACACCCAAGCACTTCAAGGGCCTGGCAGGAGGAAGGTGTCCAGCAGGTGATGGTGCTGCCAGGAGTTCAACGAGTTCGCGCAGACCAATGCCAATACGGGTTGACTGTGAAGGATGGAAAACCCAACCAGAAGCCCACGGACTTTCTCACCAATGGAGAGCACAGTGCGGTTGCCCTGAGTCGAAGATGCCAAGGAGAACATGAACATCTACCGCTGATTGGAGGCATCGCCAGGCTGGCCCAGAAGTACCCAAGGGGGTTATGCGCGGCCATGGTGAAGTGAGGAAGAAAAGACCTTCTCCACCAGAAGATCTATGTTTGGGCCACTGGTGAGGAGCTCTTGAGAAGGCACGAAGAAGAAGAAAAGAAAGATTTGGAGCAGGCCCAACAAGGAGTGTTGATGAAGAGAAGATTGGCAGCCGAGAGCAGCCATGAGAAAAGGGAGGATGAGGAGCCCGACCACGTGCACGATCACTTGACGGCGGAGGACAAAAGAATCATCCAGAAACTGCATGTGAATCTCGGACATCCCAGCAACTATGAGCTTAGCAAGGCTCTGCGGTTGGCTCGAGCTCGCAATGCAGTTTGGAGGCACGTGAAGGATGACTTCAAGTGTGACATCTGTGAAAGAAACAAGAAGCCTAAGAGTGCTAGACCGGCTATTCTTCCAAAGACGTTTGAGCCATGCCGCACAGTGGGCTTGGACGTAGTCTTCTTTCCAGGACTGGACGTGCGACAAGTGAGACCAGTTCTGAACATGGTTGATTGGGCCACTGGATATCAGATGTTGGAACCTCTGGACAACACACAGTCCAGCCACATCTGGGAGAAGTTCTACGGCACGTGGGTGAGGACGTTCAGCGTGCCGGAAGTGGTCATCACAGACCAGGGAAGAGAATTTGGCAAAGAACTGGCTGAGAAGGTGTCACAAGCTGGAGCCCTACACCGGGTCATTGGAGCAAGGGCCCCATGGCAACAAGCCCGCACAGAGCGGCATGGAGGAGTGGCAAAGGAGGTCTTCATCAAGCTTCGAGAGAGCATGCTACCCACCAATGACAGTGAGTGGCGCATGTGCGTCCATGCGGTGGAGGCAGCGAAGAACCGGCTCTACAACCGCCCAGGCTTCAGTCCAGCTCAACGCCAGTTCGGCTACAATATGAGGCTGCCGGGATCTCTGGGCTCAGATGATGTGTACGAGTTGCTGATCCATTCGTCGACTGACGACATGAGGCGAGTGATGGAGATCCGGAACACTGCCATGCA